TTCCTCAGTCGCTAAAATTAATTGTCGTGGATTGATTTCAAACTGACGAATCGCGAATAAAAGTTGACGCGAATAATAGTTGGTTTACAGTATATAACCCGCTTACGTGGATTTAATGTATTTTTTTCTGCAACCTCCCGTACTAACAACCAAATAAAGCATTTTATTGTTTAAATAAATCATTTGATTGATCACAGAAGCGGATCCAGGATTTTTTTCCCGGAGGATCCATATTTTTTGACAAGGAAAAAAGAGAGAGAAACGTAAACAAAAAAAAACTATTTCGTGAGGGGAGGAATCAGTAATAGGAGACATTTTTCTTATTTATTTTCTTCAAAAATATGCCTCTCCTTACCGTTTTAAGATGGTTTCGTGTTCCCCACGGGGGGGGGGGGGGGATTATTTTTCGTGACTTTTACAAATAAATTTATAATATCTCTGAAATTCCAAATATTTGTGAACATGTGCAATGTTATATTAAATTTCGATTATTGCCCTAGGTGTCTAAAAAAGCTGTGAGCTAAACTGAACTGAAACTTGTCATTGGAACTCCTCCTGCATTTTAAGTACTTTTTTCATTATATGTCATAGATTGCAATAAGGTTTAGGATTTTGATTTCTGTCAAGGGCTGTCAAGGGACTGGATGAGTCAGTAAATAGGATAAAGTTTTGAAGGGGACTTTCATACATGTTGTAAATTTTAGATTTACTGGGTTGACATGAATCAAACATGATAATTACTTACGACGTATAACGTTAAACTTTTAAATTTTTAATAGGATCTACATGTATTTGTTTAACGTGCTTAGATAGTAACACTTGATTTTGAAACAATACATACAATTAAAAATGTCTCGCAAGCTGCATTTAACCTGTATTTCCCAGCTAAGCGATCAGGGCTAAATCTTTTCCATATGATTACAACCCTACCAATGTCCAGATTTGTAAAGATGCTGCACTAGGGAATACATAAATAACAGTGATTCATTTTGAAAATGGATATCATGGGTTCAAAGGACCCATCTTAATGACAACAATGAGTCCCATGCCAAAATCATGCGTCCAAATCCAAGGTTACCGCATATTAGATACTACAGAGGAAATTCTGGTGAAATATAAAAGGGTATTGCACAAAAGCGCAAATGTTTTATTGTAGCTGTGAATGGTCTATACTTTTACTATTGAATTGGAAATAAGAATACATGATTTTGTGGCATAAAAATAATATATTGTCAACTGTGCACCTTGTTTCTATTTTTAGATCGTAAATACGATCTCATCGTAAAAAGCACAGAAGCAGATCAGTTGTTATATTAAATGAAAAAAAAAGTTAAAACAAAAATTAAAAATAGAAAGAAAAATGGTCAAATTTTATACTTCTTAGCCTCTAAAGAAAAAATTAAAATACACAGGTTACAGCTTAAATACAAAAGTATAGTTTACGCTTCAGAAATGTTCCACAGTAGACATAATCGAACTATGCTATCTAACTTTTAATTATTTTCTGATAATTGCTTGTTAACTGCAGTTGAACAATGAATTGTGAAATCTGACCTGTTGTTGGCAAACTTATACCTGTTAAAATCGCTCATGCATATCGCTTAGCACGTGGATATGATGCAATCGGTCAAGTTTTGAATCAGATTATATCGAAACAATTTAAAATAATAAATGTCCTTCTATGAATTTATTGCGTCCATTGGGATGCACATTTATTGAAATAATGCGTCCTAGGCAAAATTTGTGCGTAATTTACGCAGGACGCAGACCAAAACGAATCACTGAATAATGATACAATGACTTGCTATATATTGCAATCTTTTCTTCGGTACTTAATATTCAAGCAATGGTCTTACATAATCCAAATTTGAATCATTAACACGCATGAGATTTTTAGTTAAGTGGGTTTGAAAAAGAGGACATTTTTAGAAATAGCCTTATTCTAGATTCAAAAAGTTTGTTTGTTTTGTTCTGTTTGTTTTTAAATTGAGTACTCGTACAGAGCTGTTTAATTCATCACTAGTTAATGTTTTAAAGTACATGTATGTTCTTAAAATGCTTTTCCAATGAATTCGAGATGCTTCATTTTTAAATCTCGCTGTTATTTTCTTCAAATTTAAAAACTGAAGCGGAATAATGATTTTACCGAGTAGCATATTTGTACTTTGTGTCATTATTAGAATAGATGTTCTCTATATGACAGCAACAGCTGTTTTTATTAGGTAAAAGTTTATCATGTCACCTGTTACATACAAAGTTTACACTTTATTTATCGTTGAAACCTTCAGTAAGTTTAAATATTGACGCTCAAGCGCCTTCAAATTAAATGAAGTTTGTAGTGCATTATCATTAAGCATAATATGCATTTAATACTTTCGGCAGAATGAGTACTCCAATTATGCACGCCTAATTTAAGGCCCTCAAAAGCTAGGAAGTACTAGAAATGTAGTAGAGTTTTTATTAGGAAAAAAACCAGAAGTCTCTCATGAGACTGTGGCTCTACTGGTTTGTACATATAATAAAGGAAGAGAAAAGTAGCACTTGGACTTGAAACTTTGCAACAGCAATAAATAGAATAATGGTCCTTGGTTTAGTATCTTTTTGTGGTAAGATTTATTGCAATTAGATTAAAAATGTAGGAGGAGTAGCCTTTAGAACTTTTTTTTACTGAAATTGTTATTTTTATTAACCATGGCAACATGGTTCATCATAATCAAAAACCTATATACAATGTGTCTAAGTGTAATCTACTTGCATGCCAAGTTATATTAAAACCAGACCAAACTGTAGGAGGAGTAGTGTTTTAAAAGTATTTCAAAAAATTTCTTTTTTAGTAACCATGTCAACACTGTTCATCAAAATCAAAAATCTATAAATAGACATGTATTTTGGTGGAGTCTACTTGTGTGCCAAGTTATTTTGAAATCAGACCAAAACTGTAGGAGTAGCGTTTTGAAAGTATTTCACAGAAATTTCTATTTTTAGTAACCATGGCAGCACCGTTAATCGAAATTTAAAAAAAAAACGATGTACAGAATTATGTATCTTGGTGTAGTCTAGATGTGTGCCAAGTTACATTAAGTTCTACGTTAAATTAAAGAAGATGGGCGAACAAGGCGAGCGAAGTGCCTATAGTGCAACAAACACGAAGGTGAAAAATTAAATCTCAATTATAACAAAATTTTCTTTGATATTTCATCTATTATTAAAGTTTACTTTATGTAAAATCTCCACAATTTGCAAAATAATCACAAAGATAGAAATTATTTGCCTATGAAATAGCATACACACACTAAAGAGGGCAAAAAGGATCACTTTCTCATACTTTAACACGATTTTTCGATATGAGTGGGTCTTCGCTCCATTTTTTTTTTAAAGTTTATCCTCAAAGTTTGTGTAAAAATATACATTTTTTGGTTGACAAATAAATGGAGTAAAGACCCACTAACCGTAAAAATACACTTTTATGACACAACATTCGCATCTTTCCGAAAAATCCAAAAAATACAAAAAATCCATTTAGTCAAGGGACATATCACAAACATGATTTAAATGCCAATATTCATCAGGAGCTGTGTAGTGTAGTGGTTAGCACATTAGTGTTCAAAGAAAAAATATTCTTAGGTTTTTTATTCCTAGGGTTCGAACCCCACGAATACCACATAATTTTTTTTATTTAATAGAATAATTTTTGATGAGAAAAATTTCCTCAAAACGTTTTTTTTTATTATAATTTCATAAATTTTAATAATGAGCACTTTACTCTAAATACTAAATTTCACAAAGTAAATATGATTTATATATATCTGGAGCTATAGGCATTCTGCACGCTTGTTCATCCATCTCCTTAAAATCAGATTAAAACTGTAGAAGGAGTAGCATTTTGAAATATTGTCTCTGACCAGTAGAGCTAAAAAATTAGTTCCTATATAAATCTATATTTAAAAAAGACTTAACAATTTGGAATGTTTTACTGAGTGTTCATAAAAAAAAATGTTTGACAGCAGAGTGAGATATTGGACCTGTCAATGAGATATTGGACCGCTTACGTCACACTGTGGGCGGGATCAGCTAAATCTTATTTGCATTCGTTGGTGTTCAACAGTGACAGAATTGTCCGAGTTTTACCACAGTGGAAGCCAGTACAAAATATGTTTGTCCCAAAAAAAAGTGTAACAAAACATTTATTGACTGTGTTCTTGGGCAAAAAATGTTTTGTCTACCCCTCGAACGAAACTGTTTGCCTTCGGCCTGATGGCCTCAGGCAAACAGTTTGGTTCTTGGTTCCGACAAAATGCATGTTGCCCTCAAACCCAGTCAATAAATGTATAATATTTACCAGCACATTAAGTTTGATAAAAATATTTTGAACATTTTCTTAGCAACTGAGCTAAATGCAATGGAATATCAGAAGGGTGAGAGACAGACATGACAATTCATATCAACCATATTGATGGTGAGGCATAAAAATTAGAATTTATCTTCATTTGTTACAATACAACGGTTACAGGAAAGTCTCTGACTTGTTTATTTTCCACAATGCTTGTTAATTTTTACTCATTTTTAGTATATTGTGAATAAGAAAACAGAGAGGGGATCCAAGATCAATGCGTTTCATGTACTTGAAACATCTAGTATATAAAATTCAAAAATAAGCTAGCTCTCAATCTGTGATTCTGAGAGCAAAGCTTATCATAATTATATATTTCATAAAAATTCATCAGGTCTAAAAAAAAAAAAAAAAAAATTCTAATATCACCTTCCTATATCCTTCCTATGTATGCTTTACATTAAAATCAATACTGATGAGCCAAGCACCATGTAAGGTTCTCAACTAAAAAACAATGCAAGCTGATGTACTAAGGGCCACATTTAGCCTTACCACATCTTATTCTTCAAAGGGTATCTTTTAATAAGTATTTTATGTTATTTGTATTAACATTCTCACAGCATATTGACATGTTCAAAATATGACATCACATTAAGAAAGAAAATATAACTTTTTAAAAATGTTTACTTTAAAATAAACCAGATATCCAAATTTGTGCTTTTAATATACATGTATATAATCACAACACTCCACCAATTTCTCCATACATGTAAAAGATGAGATTCTTTATAGATTGTCATTGTGTATATATGTACATTTTAAGGATATGTTACTAGTATGTTTATTCTACTTTGCTCTTTTTCTTGGTTTCATGCATATATCCTAATCCTGCATTCAATGTCCAAATTGCTGTTACCATTATGCTGAAGTATACGTGGTACACACTCCAGTTACTTGTGAAAAATTGTGAAATCAACTGGAATGTGATAATGCAGGAGTTTGTCTGCAATTTGAAAGAAAAACGTATGTTAAGGTATGTCACTTGTGACATGAGTTATATCAAGGATTTTTTGAGAAGTATATTTTAGATAACCACTCATATAGCATGACTCAAAATCGCAAAGAAATTTTGGGATTAATGTGCATTTTACTGAGCTACAGTACAAGTAACTTGACCTTTTTGCACTTAAATTGTAACTTTTAGGCTAATCACTTTACCTTTTAACTTATTTTACCAAATGTATAATCATGACCATATTAAATATAATCTTATTTCATGTAAAATAGTTTGAAATATATATTATTTTTAAGGTATTAAAATCTAAATAGGCAATAAAACATTTTCTTATATCAAGCTTTTTATGACTTTAATGCTGATCAGTTGAAAGTATAATAATCTAATTTAAAATAATGAAAGAAAAAGTTGGGGCCACTGATGTAAATTTTGAGATATTGGTCAAAATATGCAATTTTCAGGTAAAAAACAATGTTAGTTCTATTTATTCATTTATTGGAAAAGTCTGTTGAATGAATGTGTAAAACTTGTTTTAAAAATATTAACTTAAACCTATATTTAATATTCCTAGCATATAATAATGAAAGAAATTCTCCAAGTAAAAATCTGAAGGGCTAAAGTTCCAAGATAAAAAAATCAAACAAACTTGAAGATTTGGAGAATTTTCTTCTAAATATACTTCCATCACAAGAAGTAGTCCCCCATAAATCTTGTGTGAGCTGTTTTTAAATTGAATATTGCATAATTTGCATTGTGTAATTCAAATATGTCATAAATATTGAACTGAAATAAGAGGTTCTGACCAAACTTTACTCAAAAACTGATGAGTGAGATACCTTGAAAAGGTTGATATTTGATAGATAATTGTAAGGATGGATACAAGTAGGTTGTATTGGACTATCAAACACAAATGCCTGATAATTTTAAAAGGTGATGAGGATCTATCATGAAATATGTAAGACTAATATCCTTCAACATATTTGTATGTTCTAGCAATTACTTTGATAGCATTAAGTTTGATATTTATAAAAGTTTCATAAGACTGATATTTTCATTTGAGGGGCAACGTGATTACTGGTCAACCTTAATGTAATTTTCCAAGAAAGTTATAGGTTCAAGCTTTCATATTTCCCTCAAAAAGATGTCATCAGAAGATAATCATAAAAATTAGATGTCAAGGTCTGGATTCAGCCTTTGATTATTATGCATCCAACAAATGAAAATGTCTTTTCAAAAAAAATGTTACAAAATATGTCAGTCCATTCATTGAGTTTCATATGTATATGTACATGTACTTACAAGAATACGATAGGTCAGAAAATGAAGTTTATCTGCTACATTGCTAAATCTTGAAGCCGATGCTGAGATGACACATGATCCAAACATGAAGGCCGCCACGATACGAATCAGAGAAAGGTGAAGTTTGCCAAGTTTGCCATCCACCTATCAAAAGAATAATTAATTCCATGAGTGTTAAGTCTCCACTGATTTCATTGACAGATTTTGTAGCAGTCATATAGAGTTTACAATGTATCTGATCAACCAAATTAACAATGTATTTGAATTTTTTGGAATGATCACAGGTTTCACTAATATTCACTGAATGATGGCGCAAATAATAAATAATTTCTGCTTCCTTAATCTGACAACCAATCTTGTATTAATGGGGGAAAAAATCTACAATAAAGAAGTTTAGCAAAATAAATCTACCTGATAATTGAATATATGCCTTTGCAGACACTTGTTTTTTTTTTTGGGGGGGGGGGGGAGATTTATAAATGTGAAATGTTGACTGTGATTTTAATCATTTTACTCATTTATTTTACTAAACATGTTTTTCTACCACTGAAAATGAAACAAGAACCTGACTTTAATTATCTGTGTGTACTGCACCAACCTTTTAACAGCATATTGATCCCACCCTTAATGTCACATATGAACCTGTTATTTTTCTCTGTTTATACAAAAATAGACCCTTCTCTTCAAATGACCTTGACCTAGTCTACCTTTCTTAAATTTGGTTCAAGACTTACATGGTGGTTAGAGTAACATTCTCTTCAATTATAAGCTTTTGATATTTACCTTTTCTTTTCATTTTTGAAAGCCTTAATTATTAGTTTGTGAAATTAGTTCATTTCTGTGTCAGACAATATGTTCACAAGAATCTTGTTATTAAAGTATAAGTATTTATTGTTTCTGCCTCTCCAAATTATCACCTAAATTTGTAATGGATGAAGAGACAATACAATAAATAAATATTAAATCTGGAAGGTATTTGAGGCAATGTTTCAAAGCTTTATTTCTGGATGTAATGAAAACTAAAGGATGTCTTTTTTTCACTTTGGTAGTAGCCATATCATTCTAATGCAAACAGCTTGTACACATATTACATTAACTCCCAATAACCTGAATATTATGTACATGTTTTCACTTTTAACAAATGCTGTAATCTTTGATATATTAACATGAGGAGACTTTCTTTGTTTTAGAATTTTAAAAAGTGAAAATGTTGATGGTTCTTTATGTAATTAATTACCCATCTTAAAAAAGATGAGGTATTTGAAACACTAGTGATTATAAGCAATCATGAATGTTTGAACATCTTTAACACTTTCACTTCTCAGTTTTAATGAACTGAAATGTCTAAATACATACCAGCTGGTAACTGATTATTTAAACTTGATTAAAAAAAAAAGACCATGAAGATAAAGCAAGATAACTCTTACTTCATTTCCTTGATTATTTAGTTTACCGGTATACATGTTCCTACTGTCAGCTGAGCCTGATCACAGATGAATACTAAAATCAGTATGAGAAACAGTTCATTGTTTTTGTCAACTTAAGGATTTCCATCCCTCAGCCAGGAACAATAACCATCAAAATTATCATATATTTGAACACTTCTCAAAATTACAATTTTTTCATGCTACAATTTTTGTCTGGCCTGCAGAGCAGAGCGACACTTAGGGATCACTTTACCCAGTGTCTGTCTGTCTGTCACCCTTATATCTCGAGAACTGTAAGAGGTATGGATTTTATATTTTGAACATACATTGCTTGGCACTATGGCTTTTGTAAATTACCATGGTTACTGATCTATGATCTTGGACCTACTTTTCGAAATAGTTAAACAGCATTTTTTTGGCATTTAAGAGGTGAGTCTATGCTATTAAGTATTTAGCATGTGCACTGTTTGTCATAAAACATGGTGAAAAATACCAGCATTACAATCCACTTGATCTTGACCTTTGACCTACATTGCAAAAGATACACTGGGCAGTTTAATTTAAGACTTTTGAATTTTGAGAGGCAAGGTTTTCATTATTATAAATTAGCATTTATACATGTTTATGAGCTCATGATACTGTACTTTGAAACTGTATGATATTCAGTTACCACACAAACTAAAGAACAAGGTTCACTTAGGACCTTTTTTGGCCTTGTGATTTCTGAAAAATCAAAAATGCTCAGTTTTAGTTGAAAATACATTATATTTCACTTGGACCATTGGTGACTGAATATATTTTAAAAGTGACATAATCTTCTTGCTAGTTCATGTATAACAATGTCATGAATTGCATCATTTTCCTTAAATCCTGAAAATTTCTTCAAAAATGGCCAGAAATTTAAGCTGTTTTTCAACATTTTGTATAGACCCCAACCTCTGATCTAAAATGTAGAATTATATAATGAAAGTACCGTCTCAGAAGATTATAATCCATGTTTTAATTTTTGAATCGCAATGTGAGCTCATATTTTAATCTTTTACTGAATGTGCTCAAATACACCCATTTTCTTCAAAATTCAAGAACATTACTATTTTACAAAGCATGTTTTTCAATACACGGGCTCCAAGAGGAAAATTTTTTTTATAGGAAATGAAAGCACTAAGTCTCTACTTTATACTGATGTTTGAAATGGGTCGTTGGGACTTGGTCAGTTAATTTGTATATGCATGGACAGGGCCATTTTATGGCGTTATTGAACCTAGCTCTTTAAATACATGTACTATGAAAATACATCAGGAGCAGTATTCCACAATGAGTCATGTAGACTGACAACTGCAGTAAAGACAGACTGAAATCTCTTTTGGAGTATTCTTGGAAACATGTATATGTGTATTAATAAAATGATAAATACTAATTTCTAATAATTTCCATTCAATTATTCATTTGAGGGTTGGGGAACCATATTTTCTTCAATTTTCAGATTCTATCCCAGTTTTATTCCATTGGATATATTTTTTTTCTTTGTTGGCAAATGCTTGAACTATCATGCTAGTGTAGTAAATTAACAGCTGACCATTCTTAGATTTATTTACATCTTTAATGAAGCTACAAGCAGGAGAAATATGTGTTCCTTGGAAGACTCTAACTCTTTTCTTGATATAATCTGAGGTGGAGTCTTTAAAGTTCATGTTAAATAATATATGCTCCCTTAAAAAGTGAAAAAAAAGGCATTATAAGAAAAATCAAATCCAGGTTTTTTTTTAGGGGTCGTAGGGGGCCTGTAATAGGCCCCATTCCCAATGGTAAAAAGTGTGTGTTTTTTCCCAATTTCATCAAAGAAAATTCCCAAAAGATTATTTGAAGCATGCATTAAAGTCAAATAATTCTAAATATTATAGAAAGAATAGCAATTACAAGTTAAACTGATATTCAATAAGATTTATTGAATGTAAATAAGTCAATAAATGCCTTGCAAGTAAAGAAATGGCTCTTATTTGAATTTTTTCTAGAAAAATGTGAATTATTTTTTTTCCCCAATTTTAACTAAATGTTGCTAATTTTTCCCAAATGGAAAGGCCCAGGCCCTTGATTTTAAGACCTAAAAAAACCCTGAAATCCCTTGTATTACCAATGCTTATTAGCATGAAATTAAATTTAAAGTGATCGGAGATATATAAGATGACAATCACAAGTTTATTCTCCCCCAAGACAGCAACTCTTTCCGAGATGCACAGCCACACTGAGGCAAATAGCTGTATAGCGACTATCAGAATTTCAGAGCGTAACAAATATCTGATTTTAATCAGATTGGGTGTTTTATTATATCAAAGCAGACTAATTGTGTCATGTCACTATCTGGATGAAACCAGAAGAGTTCCAAGATGAAATGCAAGAGAAATGGAATGCTGCCAGTAAATAGTTTGATGACTATTTCACCATTGGGCAAATAGCACAAAAACTAATCCATAGGGGCTGTTTAGAAAAAATGGCAGGTTTATTCATCAAATTTTATAATGAAAATATTCAAAGAGGTATACGAAATATTTATCTACAGCAAAGAATCACTTTTGCACAAGAGAACTGGACTATCAAATGTTAATGAATCAATATTAAATTTCATGCAAATGTATACTGACAGTAAAGCACATGTATTAATTCTATGGATGTCCACAAATATGTATTGTGATTTAACCATGCAGAAGACAACTGTTAATTTTCTAGTGAATATATAACCACATGAGCAGTGGAAATATCCTAAATGAATATATAGAACAGCGTAGGCAGTGGATATTTCATAATGAATATCTATAACAGTATGAGCAGTGGAAATTTCCCAATGAATATATATAAGAGCATAGACAGTGGAAATTTACTAACGAATATATATAACAGTTTAGGCAGTGGAAATTTCCTAATGAATATAATATATAGCCTAACAACGTGGGCAGTGGAAATTTCGTAATGAATATATATAACAGCGTGGGCAGTGGAAATTTCCACTACACCGTAGTCCCACAGTTTGAAAGAAGGATTATTCTAATTTGGTAAATTATTAGAATGTGCAACTTTTTATGGAATGTATTCTAATAAAAAGAAAAAAAATGTTTCATGTCCATGGTATCAAGGAATATTTAAATACATGTAGTCAAATATTTGCTGATATCCCCAATACATACATGTTTATATATGTATAAATTAAAATAAAACTTACCTGAATTCTATAAACATGACCTGGAAAAGCAAAGCACATTAGTGCCATAAACAGGGTCAAAATGGCATCAATTCTGAGGTGGACATCCAGTCTAGAATGTGTTTCATTAGCTCCTCCCCAGTCTTGGCACCTCAGTGTGTGGTAGAGAGATCCAAGAAACCACAGAACATCTCCATAGGTCCCAAAATACCAACTCTGTAATTAAATACCATTCAACAGATGGACTGATACGATTAACATATACCTTTCAACTTACAATGTAGATCTGTGTTTGATTATTTCTATTTAGTTCTTGTATATATTTAGATGATAGGCTTTTGGTTTTTGTTTTAAATGAACTGTGTTTATGATATATGACACAATTAAAGATTATGTAGTCATCCCTTACCCTAATAATTGTTTTATGTACCTGTAAGTTAATCGCAGTCTCATGCCAAATGGATATTTATTGTGCAGTAATTTGCCCTAAAAAAATTCTTTAAATTCTATTTAGTCTAAAACTAGCCACTTCTCCTTCAGCTAAAAGAAGGAAGCTGATCAAATTGCTAGTACAGCGAATATAAAATATACACACAAATTTTTTTAAAATATTTCCTTTTTTTAATATCCAAGCCTACTTATTTTTATCTATAGATACATGTATTAAAACATGGTTAATCTTGTGTATTTATAATATATGGTATAAATTCATTTTCAAACATACCATTTCTCAAATTCAGACATGTTTAATCAAATGCAACTCTGTAACAAAATTAATAAGGACTGTTTGAAAATTTATTAAAAAAATAGTTTTAAAAAAAAATGACCAACTTGTTTCAGAGACAATGTCCTTGGAAATAAAAACAAAGGTAATCAGAGAAAATAGGGCTCACCTCAACGAAAGGTGTCTTTAAGTAAGGCAAAGTCCCACACTAAACTAATAATCTAATACTGTACATCCCTAGATGCAACATTTATGCAATTTTGGTCTAATAGGGGTTCCAGTTACTTGGGAACGGACAAATCTAAAAGCTTTGGACAAGTCACTCATCCAGAAAATGTAAGTCTAATCCGGCATCTGAAGCAAGTTTGAGAGTGTTCATCCCTTGATGCATCATCCGTGCAAGTTTGGTTTAGATAGGCCTTATAGACCTGCTCCAAAAACTTTAACCTGGCTACTCATCTGGAAAATGTAGGTCAGATCACATTTAATTAAGGAACAGCCCTAAGAATTAAATAGTGAAGTTCTGTATTATTGTGCATGAGATCAGTCACTTACCCTGTCATTCCAATGAGGATCTTTTGTTACATTGTAAATGGAGTATACACGATTCAAAATGTACACACTAGTTGACTGAAAAAAAAAGAAATACTGAAATTACCGTTTACATGTAAAAACAAAATTAAATTTCCTGAACAGTGAGAAAAAAAGTTCATGATAAGACCAGTACATTGCACCACTAATATAAGTCATTTCCTTTATACAGATCAATTTCTGAATCTGCATATTGATCAAAGTGAGGAATTCCCACATCTTACAGATAAATATCTTCAGGCCAGGCACTTTATACACCCCTTTTCCTAAATGTACATGTTGAACTAAATTTTCTTCATCAGACTTGCCCGATTCAACCTGAAACTACCATCACTTAATGACAGTCACAGAAGATGAAATTAACAATTTTATTTACACTTTATACCTGAATTACTAGTACCCATTTAATTTCAATGCTTATTCCTTGTAATTTATGGATTAAATACAATATATTATATTATGTATTTTTATTCTATCACATCTGTTTATTTATACATCTGTTCATTTGTTGATGAATGATGATCGAGAGTTCAGGGTTCAACTTTTCTTATAAAATGTATATTACAATGAGAATCAGACTGAACAGTAAAATCAGTCACCTCAGGTTCAAATGATCAAACCATTTTGGAATTGTTCTTGTGTATCCTCGAAGGATAAGACCTCGAATGACATATGTACATCAATATAAGGTGCAGAATCAGAGGTTTCCTTGTAGTTACTTGTACAGAAGTTTTTTTTTGCTTTTTAAAGTGAAACCTGATTGTTCTCTAGACAGGTATGAGAATTGCCTATTTTGACCCAAATATCACCGATATAGCTGCGAATCTGTTAGTAAAACCAGAAATTTTTTCTACAATTCTACACAAATTAAAATAATCATTCCTTGTCACTTCACAGACACTTTAACAAAAGTGTACTTAATATAAAGACATTCAGTATAATTCTGTTCTACTTTGTACATGTGCAGTACACCAGTAATGTACACCTGCACTTGCTTCAACAGTTACACTGACAAACATATGAAATATATCATATCTTCTATCACCAACATGTCAATGAAAACTTACAATAACCCGAGACCACAAAAATGTAACTTTGACTGTGGGATCTGATGAGTGTTGTGTGAAAATTCCAAAGAGTGATGTGCTGAGGAGGATGAATCCAAACTGTCTGTAAAAATACTCATGCTTCAAATCAAGTTCACCATCAATCTGGAAAAAAATATGCTCAAATTTAAGACTTATTGGACAGATCCAGTCCAGAGACTATTTCTACCTATGTAGCTAGTTATTAATAGCTACCTAAGTATTTAAATCTACTCCAGGTAGCTACATGTAACTTTATCTATGTTTGCTTTACTTGCATTTCATGGCCAAACGCCATCGTCGCAAACCAGAGCCAAAATGTACGATCCTCTCCCATTCTGGCCTCGGTTGAATGAGAAGAGAATATTTCATAGCTCATTAAAAATAAAATATTGACCAATGCAAGTAAAGCATAGTCGGATAATGAACTTTGATGCAACCTTTCAATACCCAATTGCAGTATATGAAACATTTCTTGTATACTGTTGGTGTCAATTGTTGATTTCAATTGCAATGGAAACAAATTATGAAATAGTGTCATTGGATGAAAATGACGTCACAATATAGAGGTATAAATATTCAAGATTACGACACTTTTTTGTGATGCAAGCAGCCATGGGTAGGAGAGAGCTATATGCAGACTCCTGACCGTGGCTTGAGACGATGGGAAAACACGGGAATGGCCCAATATGGTGAGTACCAAATCACAGTGACCACAAATACTACAAAAATTTTGCCCCCCCCCCCCCCCAATGATTACTTTCTGATCTAACATCAATTTTACATCAATAACTACACCCAGTTCCATTTTCTTGGAGCTAAGGATCAAAGCTACATGAGTGTGTATGTGGTAAGAAGTGTAAAATGTCTTAAAAATCTGTAATGATTTTAAAACTTGCAATGCAATTTTAGATAACTAAAAAGGTTTTTGTCTTCTTGAGAAGATGTTTCATGCACATTACCTCTCTATTCTCCTTCATAAAGTTAACAAATTTACACCCTAAATTTTGCCATGCAAGTGCGTAATATGATTTAAAAAAAAAAAACAAACAAAAAACAAGTGACTCATGTCTGACCTGTTTTAAAGATGCACCTTAATATTATTTGGGCATATTTATTTCTGTCTTTAAAGACAGGTAACAGTAGATAGTATCTTCTTTAAGTAGGTTTGAATACATCATGTACATAGGTAGCTAATACATAGGTAGCTATTTATAGCTGTACTTAGGTAGAAATTGTCTTTGGATTTGACCTGTTGGAAACTAGAATTAAATTTAAAACAAAAAATGCACTTAGTAAATGTGATTTTTCAATATGATATGGACACTCATTTTACAAACAATAAGTGGAAAACATCTCTAATTACGTATAAATTTAACAGGTGATGAATAAAGTTAAGAAGGAAATATCTTTTCCAAACTTAACTGATCTTGAATTATTAATCATACTTGTTATTAAACCATGCTTTATATTTCCTTTCAAGTTCATTTCATTCGAATTTCCTCACATTATGGACAATGAAAAAACATTGAAATAGACAAAACTCCTTTAGTCCTAGTCAAATAACAATTTTATTGGTGTAACAGATGGGTAATTTCTTACCTGATATTGCATAACATGTTTTGGGAGAGCAATGCAAAGCAATCCCCATAAAGTTGTTATCAACAAGTCTACGAAGATCCATGCCTTCTGTCCAAAAGGTAAGATTCCAAGGAACAGCAAAGACATCAAAGTTGGAGGCAAAAGTTCTTGTATGTCCATTGTAAAACAAAAATTTACAACTCGATCTCCTGTTTTTTGCGATTGTACAGAGATTAAAGACTGAGGAAATTCAAGCTGGGTCTTCCGAAAAAGCCGCGTCAAGCTAGAATTGGACCAATCACATTCCAGAAGGTGTCCAGTCACTTCGTTCACAAACCGAGTCGTACACGAACCAACTCGTATACAAAAAGTCAACTCGTACACAAAAACCAGAAGTCAACTCGTACACAACATTTATTTACAATCGTTATGATTTAATTTTATACAAATAATGTTTGATAACACGAAGTGTTACTTTTCTTTAAGTTTTTTTCATGTGCCAAAATGTTGAGAGAATATGTTATAGTTAAGCAATGTGTCTTTGATGTGTATAGCCAATTAAGATTAAGATCTATAAATATATATATACCATTTTTGTTTACAGTATTATTTCAATATTACTGTTATATGTGTGTGTGTTATTATTTGCATTATATCTTTATTTAAATCACATAGGAAAACGTATATAGGAAAACGTATGTATGAGTTGTGTACGAGATGACTTCTGGTTTGTATACGAGTTGACTTTTTTTGTGTACGAGTTGACTTTTTGTATACGAGTTGGTTTGTGTACGACTCGGTTTGTGTACGAAGTGACTGTAAATCTTTCAGAAGGAGTCACAAGGTTAGCTTTTTAAAAAAAGCTGAGAGTCAGCCACTGGAATACAGAAAGTTTCTTTCTTGTTTTGTGATGGTATATGACTTGTTTTATTCATCATGTTGTGTTTCTTAAAAGTCATTGTAATCTAAGTTAAATTCGCCTAAGGCCATCTTTAACAAAAATGTTTGGTTGCCCTCTCCCGACCGACTGGCTAAAAAAGGTCCCACTCAAAACATTTTTAAACCTCCAGGAAACAATTATTTTTTTTTTATGCATTTCAGAAAATACAATTTGAAAATTCAGCATTGATGTTAAAATTTTTCTAGGAAAAAAAATTTCCCACCTACATGTACCTACCCAGACCCAAATTTTTCATCTTGAGAATGGAGAGGCCAAAACCAACATTATTTTAAAGTTGGCCTAATAGTTTTCTTATTTATAACATAATGCTGTACATAATAAATAATAAAACATAGAATAAATTTTAGTTAGACTGCATCATGATCATTATGATGACCTCCAATTAATTTCTCTTTGGCGCGGACATCAGAGAAAGTTTGTCTCAGAATTGAACAAAGCCACTTAGATCCCATTGAATCAAGGAACATTTATGAATGTATACATTTTCATTTTAACTGTTAAATTCTATGAATGATATAGATTATGATGCATAAAAGGAAGGTAGACTTTGGATTAGATTGTTTTAATCATTATTAATCATGCAGGTTCGAGGCAATGCATGATTTTTGGGGGGTGGGGGGTGGGGTGCATACTGTATGTATATTGAATTAAGTTAATTTCTAAGTTTAAGCATTTTTGTTATTAGGAAAGAAAAGAATTGCTTCCAAAATAAAGTAATGAAATGGAAAACAATTTAAACTGGAAATTCAAAATATGTTTATACATGCAGTACGTATACTCTAAAATGTAACTGATGATGCATGATGTCTACCATCAAAGCAAACCTAGATTAACATACTGGATTCCATCTCTCTCACTCTCCCTCATTCAGGGAGGGGGGGGGGCTGTCTATAAATCCGCGCAGTTTTTCACAAATGAATCTCTCAACTATCGCAGTTCTGCTGTGGTCAGTTTCTCACCTGTGGGCGCGGTTCATGTGCACAAGCTGCACTTACACCCCAGTCTATCATTGTGTGGACCCTAGGGCCCATGCAGAAAATATATAAACGAGATTAAACCAAAATGAATTGTATTTAATACGTCACTTGTTAATTTTCTGGAATTTTTTTATGAAGCATAGTGGCGTTTTTTTTATGTTGATTGAAATATTTGTCCATATAAACGTACTAAAGAACCCAGAGTTCTGATTTTGTGGTATTTGTATGCAGATAGAGTAATCCGCCCTTTGATCTAGAATAAAATAAATTGAAATGTACAGTTTATTCCTTAATTTGAGATCAAATCAAGCATTCGTAACATTTAAACAGGCAAAGAGAAATAGATTGAACACATCATTTGCAGGTGTTTTGCCCACTTAAATAAACAACAGTGATTTCTGTTCATCAGTACTTCATTGTCTTTGAACATTTTTCCTGGGGGGTAAATGTGCTCGGTACCCTATGTTAAAAATGTTATAGATAAGCTTAATATTTACACCTTTACTCACTATAATTCTCTCAATATCCAAAAAACTTCTCCTTTAGCATGTTTAGTGTAATAGAGGGTCCTTAAGGGGGGGGGGGTGTCCGAAATCTACGGGTCGATCTATTGCTGCCAACAAATCCCAGGCGTTAAAGGTTACCGAAGATAGTCCGAATTTTTTTTAAATAAAAAAACTATAGACCTATCAGGGATATAATTAACATTAATTTTGTGCTATTTTAATATAAAACTACTATCACCATACATGATTGTAGAAAATGTTAACGATTGGTTAACCTGTGTCACCTTTCTGAGTAACCAATGAACTCGTCCAAGGATGCATTGACAGCCGCTGTTGGCTGTAAAACTTACCTGACATTCCTACGCAAAGGAGGCGCGAATCTCTGTATAGAAAGTTGTTGCGGCTGTGGAGCAGCACACACAATTCCTTCGTCATAGAATAGAATCCGACATTTAACAGTTAAAATATCTTTAAATACGTGCAGACATTTTTAAGATAATCTTCATTTTTTGTCTCTAGAAATGTTTTTATCTTTTAAAAAAAAATATATGTATATTTTTAATTCAATGATTAGAATTCAAAAGAAAGGACAAATTTCATCGGCATCAGTTTTCTGCATCCAGGTGCTCGTATGACGCATTTTTCAGTTGGGGGGGGGGGGTCGAGGACATGACATAAAAAATGTTATTCGGTGTTTTTGAGGGGGTAAGATCGTAAATGAGCTTAGATTGAATACTTAATACCCCATTCCCGGGACCTACAGATACAGATGTAATCTTTAACAGATATGTCCTCTCTTTCAAGAACAACACTCGTCTGGTAAAAACTGGACAACATTATTAAATCTGAACACGAGCAAAACAGATTACATGTGGGGTATTTGTGATAATAAATGGATGTCCCCATTTAAAGGTCAAGGCTACATATAGTATCTTTCATTCGTTATTACAGTTTTAGTAATAAGGCCATAAAGTTAAATCATGATTAGGCCTATTTTAAAATTTACATGTTTCAAGATGGAAGACTTCTTTTTTGTAAAACGTATTTATTTAACCCAGAACTTCTTTAAATTTCTGCTAGAAACACAGACCTATAGTCCACGTATTGCAGTCCTTTTTTAAAAACTTGTCATGTAAATTATAAGATTTTACTGTCTTACAGTGGTCTTCTGATGTTTTCATAACTTTCATCATTAAAGTAAAACGAGATTCATTTTTCACTGAGCTGGGACCTTTGTAGCAAGTGGATTATTGTGTGAATTCCGACCCTTACATGTCTTATGCAAGATATTGATCGAGGGCCTTGCATCAGGCATCCAGAGGAATACACACAAATTCATGACTTGCAACGGCGATTGAGGGTACATGTGTATATATATATATATATATATATATATATATATATATATATATATCAAGGTTTAAATGTGCTGTACATTTTAACTTATCTTCTTTAAAAAACACCGAAATATTTTCAAAGTACAATATAAAACAGTACAAATTTCCCACTTAGAACAATATATGTCTTTAATTTTCGTCGAAAACGAACAAAGAATAATGCAGTCTATAAATAGATCAAGGTCGTTTCTTTATTCAGAGAGTGTGCGTGAAGAAGCAGGCCTTCTGATTGGAGCAAATAGTAAGAGTTTCTTTAGCAGTGTTTAGAACAAGTCGTGTAAATGTTTTTCCCAGAATTCCAAATTACGCAAGCGCACTTGCAGTTTCATCCCACCGTAACGAGTCAGCCCGGGGGCTGACTAATCATTAAGCGTTCCATAGACGCTGACGTAGTAAAGGGAACAAACAGGTCCAACTTTGTTTATTCGTAGACCCCCCCCCCCAACTATACCCCTTCATTTTCTAGCCCTGTTGTAACCTGTCTGCTCTTCCCCGAATAAAAGGGTGTGATTTCGGGATTAAATTATCCTAAAACGGAAAATAAGTTACCCTACCCCAGGCCCATAGGAAACAATTACAGTTGGGGGGGGGGGGGGGCATATATTTTCAGTTGGGAACACTTTATACTACGAAGCCTAGAAGGGTCAAATAAGGAAAATGATTGAAAAAAAATGAAAGTCGTAATAACGACTTTTTATCTCGTATACAACTTTTTATCTCGTTATTAACACTTTCTTAAGTCGTAATAACGACTTTTAATCTCGTTATTACGACTTAATAAAGTCGTGTAATAACCACTTTTTATCTCGTAATTACGACTTTCTTAAGTCGTAATAACGACTTTTTAATCTCGTAAATTTTACGACTTTTTATCTCGTTATCACGACTTTCTTAAGTCATAATAACGACTTTTTATCTCGTTATTACGACTTCTTATCTCGTAATTACGACTTTTTATTTATTTTTTTTTTTCATTTTGAACATTTTCCTAATTTGATCATTTTAGGTTACGAAAACTTAGAAGTACGGAAACGTATAATCATGGTCTCGTGTTGTTGAGTTGGAACGCGATATTTTTTTATTATGATATTGTCCAAAACGGTTGCTTCAAAGTTTGCAGATTTATCTATGACACCAATCTCTAATGAAGGACACTTTTTGACGTGTTTTAATCGACTTACACACTTTAATCTATCAAAGTCGAATTCATCAATGTCGCACTTAAATAATTCATATAAATTATACCACAAAATTAAATATCGCAGACATTACTGTTACGCATCGCAGACATTATTTATGACACATAGGCGTCGGATGCAAATTTGAAGGGGGGGGGGGCTAAACCAACCAACCAAAAAAATAGTTTTGGGGCTAAGCCCCAATTTCCAATGCCTATATTATGTTTATCTTTGCAGGGGGGAGGGGGGTAAGCCCCCCGGTTCCGACGCCTACATGACTACTTCATG